TGATATATTTTTCAGAGAAAACACTCCAGAAAAGTTTTCTCTAACTAACAGGGGCATGGCGGAGACACTTCTGGGGGGCCCTCCTCCTCTCCTGGACTCTCCTGAGTCCCGACCGGGTGGGCAGCAGCCTGAATACCCCAGGCCCGAGTCTGGGAGACCCTCATGGCATCCTTCGTCCACCCAACCCACAAACTTTCTTTAGGCAGGTAGGACACAGCCCGCAACCCAGAATCGCTTTTTGGAGGGTGTGGATTCCCTTCCTAGATGGTCCCATCCTCATGCAGACAAGGGTGGGGGCAGGGAGGGACCTGGTGGCAGAGGCTCCGACTCAGTCCTCAGAGCGACAGAGCGGCCGGGGGGAGGGCCTCCCCGCTGCAGCCTCCTGGGAAGGCGAGGCCGCCGTCCTGTCTCCGCGGCTAATGCTGCCCTGCAGGCTCGCGCTCGCCTTCTCGGGGGTGTCTGGAGCATCACAGGCGCTGCGCGGCAGGTGCTGGCCACAGCGCTCGCCCACACCCTTCCTGCAGTGGGCGGCTAACTGCAACCTGATCACGCAGCCCTCGAGAGCCCCGCGCCTGGCCCACCACTTCCTCCTGCTTCCCGCCCCCTGGGGAGAAGCTTCCAGGCTCCCAGGCAAGGACCGGAGGTTTTGCCGGCTGCTAAAGGGGATGAGAAGAGCACAGTCCCTCCAGCCCCAGGAGACTCAGGCTGCCGCTTCCCCCATCCCCCCTACGCCAGGGCCGGGGGAGGCCCAGAGATCGCACTAAATGCCTACAGACAAGTAACCACGCAGGAGCCTGCCCACCAGGGACACTCAGTCTCAGGATCTAATCTATCCTCTAGGTACCTCAGTTTCCTCATCTGTTTAAAAACCCAACCAACCGCCTCATAGGGTTGCTTTTAAGAATAAGTCAGATTATGTATGTAACAGGTCCAGTAAATACTCTACACTTCCTCCTGGCTTTCACCTTTCCTTCCCTTTTAGAAACCTAGACTTTGTGTCCAGAATTAAAAGCTAGTGGGGTCAGAGGCCAGGATCCTGCCTGAGCATGTCCACACTCATGGAGGCCACATGAGAATAGGGACTGTCCCTGGTGTCCAGGGAGTGTGACATCACCATTACATGGAGGGGAAGTGATATCATTCAAATAACTGTAATGATAACAGTGTCACACATGCCTTGGTCATCTCCAAGTTGGTTCATCTGAGAAAACAATCTTTTGGGTAACGTTAGCTACAAAAATACTACCTAATTTATCCTGTTTTCCTACGTGCCCAGCTGAAAGCCCAGCCCAGCATGGGGCTCTGGTCACAGGCTGGGGAAGGCTTTTCGGATTTGTCATAGCAGTACTAAGCCAGCTGGAAAAGGCACCATTAGCCTGTGTTCCACCCTCATTAGTAAACATCAAAATAATTTCCCTGCTGACCCCGAGACACAGGAATCATCATATCTAAGAATGGATTCCAGCAGCACAAAACTGACAGGGGTCTCATACTGGGGTTCCTTGCAAAGGGAAGCTGGGAGGGGGTAAGGAGACAGTTGTAAACTAAATCCCTCTGAGGAGAGCGTGTGGGTGGAACCACATATATGTAGAGATTTAAACAAACAGAATGCATCACTATGGAAACATTTGGCTTTTTCAAAGGCATAGTTAAGAACATAAAGCAATCAAGACTTCAGATTCAACACTACCAAGTGTTTACCAGAAAAGGCAAAGCGGGTCTTAGATATTCTGCAGCCAAGTAAAAGCTGCCAGAACTCAAGGAAGAAATAGTCCCAGCAGGGCAGGGACCCATGTGTCAGGGCTTTCTCTGAAGCCGTCCAACTGGAGCGCTCTGCTCACTGCAGTGCCCACTGAACTCTTCTGGGGTTGCCATGACACAATTCAGGAGACGGTGCCACTTACTGACCAGGTCCAGACAGACCTGCCACTCGCGAGGGCAGGTCATACCAGCCATGGAGGCAGCAGGGAGTGTCACAGGAAAATGGCAGGTTTATGAGCTGTGACCCAAACTTATTAGGAATCATCAATGCCATGTGAGTTAGTGGTTATTTGTATACTGAGGATACAATCTGATGTTGTGTCAGACTGTTCCGACCCATGCTTTGAGGCAAGGTGCCTGTTGTCAACATGTTTTTAGTATGCAGAGCTTACCCTGCTTCTCGGGCTGTCTGCTGATCGGAGTCGTGGTGTTGGTAAGCATCGTGAGGAAGCCTGATGCTGAGTCTGGGCATCAGGGTCCCCAAATGTACTCACAGATAAGAATGAAGGGAGGAAGGGACCACCTGTCTACCTCTGAAAGTTTGCTTGGATATGGTAAGGAAACATGTTCTCAGTCACTTGCCAGGAAGGTTAGATGAGAATTTGTCTAATTTGTCATAAATTAGACTGTGTCCCCCCAGAATGAGCTTCCCCCAGTAAACTGGACAGTTCTAGTCCAGTTGGCAGCAGAGTTTCTGACTAGGAGATGCTCATGTTGATTAAGGAGAGATGAGGTGCAGATACCTGCACTGGTTCACAGGAAAGCCAGGGGACAAACAGAGTGGCCTGGCAGTCAGCCTGGCCAGCAGGGCACTAGGGTGAGCTTGGGTTTCCCGCTCTACATGAGCAAGCCCTGAGGCTCATAGGCCTGGGGGGTGCCCACTATTCTGCCTAAATCCTGCATGGCAGAGAGAAAAGCACAGTCTAGGCATTAGCCTGTGCTGTATGTGCTGGTTCTGCCGTTCATAAGTCCTAGGAAATGACTTCACCTCTTGGAGGCTCAGTTGCCTAGTCTCTACAATGGGAATAGCATCTTGTTTTGGCAGGGCTTCAGGGAGGATTAGGAATTATGTATGAAAAGCTCCTAGGACGGTTATTAAATTGTCTTGGCAGGTTATTAAAGCTCAAAAAATGGGCAACTAAAAAACTAGACCTGTTTTTCTTCATGTGACAGCCGTTATATTTGCTCCCTCTGCTTTACAAGTAATGTTGGCAAAAATAGCTTCACCCTTAATTCCTAGTTAAGATCTACCACCAGTAAAACACAGCAACAGGTTGGTGCAGTCACTGAGCATGCGCCTCCTTTGCTGGGGTCTGGAATTCCTGTCTGGTCCTAACCCTGTACTTTTATTCTATGGCAAGTACCTACTTGACATTTCAGAAGGGACATTATCTTAGTGGTAGAAAGAATGGCAGTTCCGGCATTTGACAGCAAGAAACAAAACCTAAGACTGTTGCTCTCAGGTGAAGAAACCCAGGTGGTGGTCCAGGCTGTCTGCTGAAGAGTAGGAGTTAGTTTCCCTGACAGACATGGCAGTGATGAGGGAAGAGGTGAAATCGGAGCTGAGGCGAGGGGAGAGCATGACCCCGGGTCAGGAGGGATGTGGTTAAGACCTGGAGTCATCTGCCAGCCCTGTCACTTGTGGGAACAGAAGAGGAATTTCCCCAGGTCCTGCAGCCAACTCATAGCCGAAGCTGGCTGCACCACCCTGGCCAGGTTGTGTTTGTTTGAATTGGAGGAAAGCTAGGGATTAAGTAGGTTTCATTTTATAGTTATGGTGATTTGTACCTCCCTCACGGGAAGGCTCAGTCAGTATGATGTTCAGATTTCATAAAGCATTTAGCATTTCTTAGAGAAAGGAACAACACACAGGCAACAACATTTAAAAGAAAGAGACTCTGGTTCAAGAAGCTACAGAGCTTGTCAGAGAATAGCGCCTGGCCAGGCATGGCATTCATCTGCCTTCTGGGGAAGAGCCTGCCCAGCCTTTGGCATTTTATTGTGATCATGGAGATCATCAATCTTACAGCACGGAATGGAAACAAGATCAAAAGCAAGAAGGCTCAGTACATTTTCCCCACAGGGAGCTACGGGAAACTCTAACTCTCTCACCCTACTTTCATCCATTTAAATCCATTCTCTTTCTCTCCGGTTTTCCCTGTCTTGGTTTGGAATTGGCATGCTGCTCCTAAGTCAAGGGGTCAGGAAGACACGTGCTTTTATGATGCAACAAGGGGCAGTCGCTCTGTCTGCTTCGGGAACCCTGGTGACATCAGAGACTAACGCTTTCATCTCGGGAACATGTGTAGAAGAAAACACTGAGTCAGAAGAAAGCCTTAGTCATAGGGCTACTGAAATCTAAAGTGAACAGGACTCTTAGGTAACTGAGTCTGTTCCCTGTAGGACTGCTCCCGCTCCTATCTGGCTAGGGTTTAAATGACTCAAGTCATTCTCCAGGGGGAACGAATCTATGTAGAACAGCTGCCACTAGCAGGGCATTTGCTGCTCTTCAGCCGAAATTTCTCATGACATCACTCAATTCTTCCTCCCTTTGAGGGGACAGTTTTCTCTTGTATTTCAAGTAGTCCAGGTGGCTGCCTGGAGATGCACTGGAGAATGCCACCTCTGCTCTTTATTCAGAGGCCTGTAACCTGTCTGAGCATATCCTGGGAAGATGGACAGGCAAGGAGACTCAGTTAAATAAAGTGCTCCCAGAATATGCAGCTTTGCATTACAATAGCACACAAGCCAAGATGTTCAGGAGTCAAGGCAGACTTCAGCAAAGCTCTGTTTGGGTTTTAGCAGCTGTCTGCCTAAGCAAGGCTCCAGAGTCACTGACTCATATTTATATCTCCACTTTGCTAAAGGCACAAGGAACAAACGTGTGGATTTACCCCGGAGGCAAAGTCCATTCATATTTCTTCAAATGAAGCGGGAGAGGGCAGCAAAAAACTGCTTATGGACAAAATCATCTGTGAACACAGCCACAGCAGTTTTTAACTTGCCTAAAGGAAATATGTGATTTCAAAACATGATTAGGGATTACTGTTCCCACAGTAAACATATTACAAACATGAACTGCAGGCTGTCGTTTAATAGGACTCCAAGCTGGGAAGCAAATCCCATCCACATCTTCCAAACAACCACACCATGAGAGCAGCTGGACCAGTCTCCGGAAGTTTCTTCATGGTGGAAGCTTTGCTCAGTCTCAGCACAGCTTCCCTCTCCAAGACCTCACATCACCAGTGCGCCCCTCAAGGGTCAGGATAAACTGTCCGAAAGGTCAAGTTTATTCTTGGTTCTCTAGAATGGTACTCCTTGGGCACTCGATGCTAAATGGAAATATGAATAACTCTGACATACACACACTTACACTTTTATTGCAAAGCAATTTAAAACTTATTTATGAGGACATAGACATGTTTCAATTTTATCTCCTGTCAATGAGCAGCAATAGCTCTTTTAAGTCTTGTGGAGAAAGGTCTTCTTCTCTGAAACAAATCTCCACCACCACCCTCACCGTGATATGTCAGCACCCTCACAGGGAGACAGTTTCAGTTTTTCTAAGTGTTTCTCTTCCTCTCAGACTCCTGCCATTTTTCCAAAGCTCAAAAGAAAACACATAAATGGCTGAGATCACAGACAGGCATGAGATTCCCCTCTCATGCTAAGTGTTCTTAATTTGCACACCTTAAAAATGGCCTGGACTAAGCGATGGAGCTGTGCAGCCCCATATGCTAGCCACTGGCTGCCTGAAGCTCTAAATTCATTAAAAATTCAGTGCTTCAGCACACTAGCCATATCTCAAGAGATCAACAGTCATGTGTATAGTGGCTGCCACACTGGGCTACACAGATACAGAGTACTTCCATCATCACAGGAAGTTCTAGTGGACACCGCTGCTGTAGAGGGCCATTTTGACTGTCAGTAGAATCAAAACCCCTTGGAAATGACGTCAGTTTATTGCCTCTTGCTCATTATAAAAGCCACTTGCTTTTCACCACGTCTAATATAGAAATTAATAACTGTAAGCCAGTCAGGAAACTGCCTCTACATGACAGCAAATCCACGTTACTTGCATGTTCTCACCTGCCAGTCTGCTTGGGTGGCTCCTTCCATGAGTAACAAGGTCCCGTGACCCAAGGGTAACTTCACTCTGTCCACATATGTGTAGTCTCCATTCTCCTCCTAGAAAACAGCATTCATTGCACTGAATTTTTTTGCTTGTGTGATCAAGATGCTGCAACAGAACATGACACTGGTCAAAGAAACGCCAGCCTCCACTCAGCCAGACTGGCTCTGTCACTTGGCGGCTGACTGGCCTTAGGCAGGTTACTTCACCTCTCTGTTCCTGAATTTACTCACTTGTAAAATGAGGATGACGAGAGTACCTGCCACACAGGGCTGCTGTGAGCCTCAACTTACATGTGTGAGAATTACTTGGAGACTGGTACATATTAGGTACAGCATAACAGCTATTAGTATTAGTATTATCAGCATCCAAAATGCAGAAAAGCACATTCTGGCCTATGAAGGAATTCAAAGTCATTTATACAATAATTCTTTACAACTGCCTTATTCTGTGCCCTGTGTTTTGACATAGTGTTAGGAGAACAGGCTTTCAAACAAGACATGGTGTGATGAGTTTTGACCCCCTTCTCATAATTTATGCTAATTCACTAATTGGTACCTATGTTAAAACTAGTCACAACTCTTCTATTTTGGTATTTTGGAGATATATTCTTGTTTCTTTCCAGAACAGTCAACAAGAAGATTTTCTCAAAGAAGGGAGCTCTGCTGTGACCAGAACAGTGTTGCTAAACTGAGACTGGCTGTGTAAGCCTTTGAGAATGGATCGCAACTCCCGAGCACCTAGGATACAAATGCCCGTATTTACATTGCCCCTTTCTTCCAGAGCTCAAAGTCAGTTCACTGTAATGAAGCCTCCCAGCACGGGCTGCAATATGGCCAACAGGTGGTGTCACTCCTCCTCCACCGCTGTCAAAGGGGCACATTAAACAACTTCCTTGCTCACAGCAACAAAGAGCACGTCAAGAACTGAGACGGGGACAGACCCAAGTTTCCTGACTTCTTCACCTCCATTCCGGGCAGATTCGTCCATTCATCAGCTTCACTTCCAATGCAAGAGATTACATTTGGGTTACTACAGGATTAATTTCACTGCAATGCTGTGTTTATGTTTATTATTGTAAGGGTGCTTCTGAGAATGTAACTGTTTACAATGATTTCCCCCAGGAAAATCAAAATCAAAACAAAATGAACTTCCATAAACAGTCTAGGTTCCCGTCCCCAGCCCTTGGCAGTGACTTTGTCAAGCACCGTCATAACTTTATAAGCAGAAGATATAAGCAATGTTTGAAATAACTTTTGGTCTCAGTGATTGATTTTGTGTCTGCCACCTTTTGTCTTCCAGTAATAAGTAAGCACCAAAACATTTACCTCTGACCCCTCAGCCAACCCGTGGAAAGGTGACCCTCCCTGTCCTCAGGTAGCCCAGCTCCATCTCAGAAAAGCAAAACATTGCTCCCTGAAAAAAGTATTCCAGACAGAGGAGATGTATGTTCTACTGAAGAAAAGATATCAGAAGGGAGTGCATCGTTCATGAGATCAGAGGGTCCAAGGCTCCTTGATTTAGGCTGTAAAGTCAGTTACCAGATCAAGGTTCAACACAGCTAGAAACAGAACTGTTGCTGCCCTCTATATACTCCAGAAGTACAATGGGGCCTTAATCTATAAACCAAGCACAGACACTAAGACAGGAGAGTGCAGTGGACAGGAAAGACACTTAACACAACAGGAAGAGAATCCTGAGATGAAGATCTCTTAGAACATTAAAACATTACTGGGATAACACTGTACCTCAACTACACTTCAATTTAAAAAAAGAAAAAAAATACACTAAGGAGGAAAAGCATGTTCTAGGAAGCAGGAATTGAATATGCAACAGCCCAGAGGCCAAGAAACCAAGCCCCATCCTGTGTACACAGGTCTGTGAGACCAGGGAATAGGTATAAGGAGTAATTTGGAGAAGTTAGAAAAGTTAAGAGCCAGCATTTTCTCATCCAGTGTTGCTCTGCCAAAGCCACTGTAATAAAATGCAAATTTGATCTCAGAATTCCTCTCCCTTGCTTAAAATACTTTAATGACGTCCCAAAGGTTTCAGGATGAAGTTCAAATCCATTAGCTTGGCACCCAAGGCTCTTGATGATCTGCGTGCTCCTTCTCTTTAGTTTCAGCTCCTACATCTCTCTCACGGGCACCCTGTGCTCCAAATGCATGGAACTACTTACAGTTTTTCCAAACATGAAAAAAAAAAACCCATTATTGGGGAGGAGGGAGTGCTAAGGCCAGTGGAATAGAAGAGGGGAGCACTGTAACTCTACCTGGAAACGTGAAGCAGGAACAGACCCAGCAAGTAAAAAGAGTTCCAAATGCAAGAGGAAAACATGAGCATGGACGGAAAGGGATGTCCAGCAGAGCCACATGTCCCTCACTATTCCTAAGATCTGAGGTTTTCAAATGAGAGAAAGCCTCAGGTTGGTTTGAAACACATTACATCCAGTATAACCATTAGTTGTACCAAAGAGCAAAAGAGGGTGAGCCTTCACTTGGCAGGGAGCTACTCTCATCAGTCCCTGAAGGAGACAGTGATACCAGCACACTTACAGTGAGAGGTGATGTCATTACTTTGCTGCTTGTTGTTCCTTCCTTCCAACACCCTTGGCTTAAGAAGTACATTCCTAATTCACAGAAGGAGACAGAAATGAGGGCAGGGGATTCGATCAAGGCAACACAGAGCTCACGAATGCTTCCTTCCAGAGACCAGAGCAGCAACAGACCAAAGAGCCACACTTTAACTTAACCAAGATACACAGAGACTTTTTCCACTGAGGAAGCAGATAAAAGGCCAGAGGAGCTCACGTGGCTAAGCATAAGGGCTCAGTTGATAGATGGATAAGCGACAGTGGAAGCACAGTTCAGACTGTTTAGAGGAATGCACTCACAGCCATTAAGCATGGTTAAGTTACCCAAACACTGCTCTGTAACCCTTTTGATTTACTCAGGTCTTTCTTCAAAACAAAACAAAACACACCCATTAAAAAGCCATGGCTTAGGATAAAATTTTCCATTCCCGATCCCAGTTAAAAGAAACTTTTAGGGTCACAGTCAGTCTACAGGGTGGGTTTTGCTGTTGATATCCTTGGTTTTCCACACACTTGAAACCTCACAAGTAGATGGAAAAAGCAAAAAAATATATATATTTTTTATATTAATGTTAACATTCTCACTCCCTCCTTAACCACAGCCAATTCATCTGAATGCTTAATTATAATTTCCAGTGAATGCTGGGGTTTTCCAAAGTTCCACAACTTTCACCAAGATCTCAGCCTATTCAGTTTCCTTTAGAAAAAATGTTATTTAGGGACTTCCCTGGTGGTCCAGTGGTTAAGACTCCGCACTCCCAATGCAGGGGGCCAGGGTTCAATCCCTGGTCAGGGAACTAGATGTGACATGCCGCAACTAGGAGCCCGCATGCCGCAAATAAAAATCCCGCATGCCACAACTAAGACCCAGAACAGCCAAATAAATAAATATTTTTTTAAAATGCTTTTTAGGGAAAAAAAAAAGCCTGGGTGTATATTGTTATATCATTACAAACCACCCAACAGATAAGAAATCTAAACATTTTTCTTTTCACTGGAAAGGAAACGTATGAGATCTATGTAGATTTTTCATGTAATTGTGCCTTTCTTGTCCTAAAAAAGGTGTCTTAGAAATTATAGGGTTGGCCAAAAAGTTCCTTTGGTTTTTCAGTAAAAATAAAAGACACTTTTCATTTTCACCAAGAACTTTATTGAACAATGTATTCAACCTTTTGTTCCACTACCTTCTGCCATTTTCCAGGCAACTTCATAATTCCATCTTCTCAAAACTTTTAATCTTTTTGAGCAAAGAACTGTTCCAAGTGCCTTTTACAGTCTTCCAGGGAATTGAAATTTTTTCCATTAAGAGAATTTTGTAAAGACCGAAATAAATGGAAATCCGAAGGTGCAATGTCTGGTGAATACGGTGGATGAATCAGAACTTCCCAGCCAAGCTGTAACAATTTTCGCCTGGTCATCAAAGAAGCATGTGGTCTCGCACTATCTTGATGGAAGATTATGTGTTCTCTGTTGACTAATTCTGGACATTTTTCGTCAAGTGCTGCTTTCAGTTGGTCTAACTGGGAGCAGTATTTGTTGGAATTAATCACTTGGTTTTCTGGGGAGCTCATGATAGAGGACTCCCTTCCAATCCCACCATATACACAACATCACCTTTGGACCAGCCTTTGGTGTGGTTGTCAAGGGTTCATTTTGCTCGCCCCACGATCTCTTCTGTTCCACATTATTGTACGGTATCCACTTTTCACTGCCCATCACAATTTATTTTAGAAATGGAACATTTCCGTATGTTTAAGTAGAGAATCGCACGCAGAAATACGGTCAAGGTTTTTTTCGCTTAACTTATGTGGAACCCAAACATCGAAGCGATGAACATAACCAAGCTGGTGCAAATGATTTTCAATGCTTGATTTGGATATTTTGAGTATGTCAGTTATCTCCCGCATGGTATAACGTTGATTGTTCTCAATTAACGTCTCGATTTGATTGCTATTAACTTCCACTGGTTTACCCGACTGTGGAGCATCGTCCAGCAAGAAATCTCCAGTATGAAACTTCGAAAACCACTTTTGACACATTCGATCAGTCACAGCACCTTCTCCATACACTGCATGAATATTTTTTTGTTTCAGTTGTGTTTTTACCTTTCTTAAAATAATAAAGCATAATATGCTGAAAATGTCGCTTTCCCCCATCTTTAATATTAAAATGCCTACACAAAAATTCACCAATTTTGATTTTTTTTTTTAATGCACACTGATATGACAGCTGTCACAATACAATCTAACAAAATTGTTTCGAATGAAGTTAGACAACTAAGCGCTACTAGAGCCATCTTATGGAAAACAATGAACGAAACTTTTGGCCAAGCCAATACAAACATCAGTGCTTGAAAATCATCATTGGCATAGTTTTTTTTCCTACTATAAAAGTAGGAAAAGTAACATAAGTTCTTATAACATAACATAAAAGTAACATAAGTTCACTAGAGTAACTGACACA